AAAAGTTCGATGAGTGAGGGGATTCGTGTAAGAGAAGAAGTGCTGTGTGTGTGAGTAGAGTAGGCATGAAGGGTAGAGTGTGTGTATGCTGGAAATTAGGGAGTAGGAAAGGGAGGCCTGTAGAGCGTAGGTGTGAGGTATCGGGATAGAGGTGTGTTGGTGTAGCTGTGTGGTGTGAGGGTATGAGTGGTATATAGGGTGGTATAGCTGCTGTAAATTTAGTAGTTGGCGAGGGAACATTACTGGTGTGTGTGTGTGTTAAATGTTAGTGTGTGTCCTATGGGAGACGCGTGTAGGTTCGGTATACAGGTTAAAGGTATAGGAGAGCTTCAGGACAATGTGGTAGAGGGAGAACGAGATGATATTATTCTTGAGTTGGTAGCATTGGAGGGACGCCGATATTGGTTGTCACTACCTAAAATGAGTAAGTTGATCGCCGATAGTGGTGATGATCGCGAGACTCCGACGGACAAGGGATTGGGTCGCTGATATTGGTGACGGGAGAGAATGGTATCGGCGTGTGTGTGTGACCTGTTAGGGATCAAGAGGTAAAATGTTTATTGATGGTCGTCAATACTGATGATGGGTAAGAACATTTGTACGGTTGGGGTGACATCGAGAGACGGTCATACTTGATATGCATAATATTTAAATTACTGGAGGGTAAGTATTAGTCATGTGTAGTTCCATGGTGGTATAAATGTATGACTTAGGTTATGTACATAGAGTACATATAGAAATACTGGGTTTCCTATTGTTGCATATGATACTTGTAACTTAATTTTTACTATATTGAGTTATATGTACTAACTCTTTATCATTCACAGATGAAGTAGGGATGGAGTCAGGATCGAAGTTGCTGGTTTCCGAACCTAGCGTATAGAGCAACAGAGTAAGAATTTTTTTTATGAGTATAATAGAGTGTGTAAAAATTAATAATAGTGTATATAGTGTGTCTGCTAGAAGTGTATGATGTTGTATTTCACTATGATGTACATGTAGGATTGTAGATTTATCTTTGACTTTGAATAATGGATTGCAATAAGGTTTCTATGTGTGTATGATTGATTTAAAATGAAACTTTCATATCTAGTCATAAAATTATTTTAGACTGCACCATTAAAAAAAAAAAAAACGGGGCGTTACAGTTTCATATCCGAAACAGGTAAAAAAAATTTTACTTGATAAATATAACTTTTTATTCATTTCATTTGGAATGAATTAAAGAATATTAGTGGGTCCCACGCTCCAAATTTCACCTCTACGTGCACGAAATAATTATATAAATGGTAGGTAATAATTATAAAAATTTAAAAACCAAAGTATACCGGTGAAACTATCATATGATTGGTTGGTCAGTTTTAGGTTTGGTTCACCTGTAATTATAAACCTCCAAAATTTTAATTTACCATTGGTAAAATCATTTTTTACTACGAGGAGCGTCAGAATGGTAAAATTTGGAGCTACATGGTTAAATTTTTATTTTTAACCGTGACGGTTATAAATATAATTATTTTCAAAATATAATTATTAAAAGAACATGAAAAATACGTAACCGTAAAGAACAGGAAATAATCGAGTACAACTCACCACACCGCACCGATTACAATGCACCTAAAGAAATACTAATTTTCATTTATTTCCGGAGAAATAAATAAATTCCAGTTACAGATCGAAGCAGTTGGGCAGCTCACCGATCTCAACAATGGCTCTTTAATTGCTCTCTCTCTCTCTCTCTCTCGTTCTCTCTCTAGGTAGCTCCTGTTCTGTATCAAAATCTGTATAAATTCATCTCGTTGCCTACGGAGTAGCTTATCTTCACCTCTTTATCTCTATTCAATGGCGGGATTTTTGTCGGTTATCAGGCGTCTATACCTCACTATCTACAACTGGACCGTCTTCGTTGGATGGCAAGTTCTTTTTGCATTCTGCACTGTTGGAGGAAAATGCAAATATACAAGTATATTTATATGTGTTTTGAAAATTACAGGGCTCAGGTATTGTTCCTTGCTTTGAAGACCTTAAAGGAATCAGGTTACGAGCATGTCTACGATGCGGTCGAGAAACCTCTTCAGTTCGCTCAAACCGCGGCCGTTCTGGAGGTATTAATCACCACAACTACATAATCTCTCTTTTCCAGGAAAAGGAATTTTTCTCTTACAATGCGACATGGATCTTTTCCCGTGAAAAATGGTTTCGAATCGAATTATTGATTCGTCAATCGTCTAATTCGGTTATATTAGTGTGGACTAATTTATTTTTCTTGTTTTTGGCTGGTATTTGAACTGTATCGACGAGCAGATTCTTCACGGTTTGGTAGGTTAGTGTTAGTTCTCTCATTATCTATTTTTGGATGGGAAATAAAAATGAAAAACTCTCCGTTGAATTTAATTTAAAATATAGTTTTCGTTTGATTTGGTTTCTATTTCATCAATTGAAAAGGTTTGGTTAGATCTCCCGTTATGGCGACACTGCCACAGATAAGTTCGAGGTTGTATTTGACTTGGGGCATTCTGTGGAGTTTCCCCGAGGTTAGAATTCTGAAATCTTTCATTATATGTGGCAATTATCTGTAAACTTTCATTTTATTGACTTACTGACGATAACAATTGGCAGGTTAGGTCTCATATGATTGTTAGCTCACTCGTTATTAGCTGGTCCGTTACTGAGGTGATTATTTCTAGACTCTCATCTCTTTCGCTCAGCTGTTTTAATTACCTGCAGATCAAATTCCTTATGCTTTCTAATTGTTCCTCTTCTTTGTATATATGGAAAATTATTGCATTGTGATGCAAATTACTGCTGCCTATATACATTAATAATAGCAGTAGTCAAATTATATTTTACTTCGTGTTCTTAGCAGAGTAATTTGCAGCTTGAAGCATGAGCTAAAAATGCCTTAACTATTTCCAGTATTCATGTCTTCAAAGTATCAACTTGGAATGGATTCCCTTCTTGATGCATCTCTTGCTTTAGACTAGTGATTAATTGGTGCCTGGAAGTTTATGGAACTGATTCTGATCTCTTTCTTGATGCTATAGTTAAATCCTGTGACTGTTTTCACCCTGGAGAGTTTTTTGGTGGCTATTTTGCTGTTCTTGGCCAGTTGGTTAAGTATGGTACATCACGCATTTACTTCTTGCAGATAATTAGGTATTCTTTCTTTGGCATGAAAGAGGGTTTGGGTTCTGCTCCTTCATGGCTCCTGTGGCTCAGGTACATGTGATGGGGCTTGACACTAATATGCAAATGAAAGTAGATAGTGCCATGTGCTTATTTATGTTCAATTTTATTCATGCAGGTATAGCACCTTTCTATTGTTATATCCAACCGGAATATCCAGTGAAGTTGGACTAATATACCTTGCCTTACCATACATTAAGGTAACAAGTCCATTTTAATGCATGAAAGAAAGACTTACTTTGCTGATTTATGTCCTGTTAAGATCGTAATTTTTGTTACCTATTTACCTGATCGGTTCACCAAAGTTGCGGCCCAGATAAAGGTTTCTACCTATAAGTATAGGCTGCATATCATTGTTCTTGTTCGAGCGTGTTGGTTAGCTTCTAGAGATAGACTTTTAGTAACAGAAACCAATTTCTTCTTTCCTGTCAAGTGTCAAGGCAAATAACTATGTTTTCTAAAAGGCCATGTATGTAGGTGCAACAGTTGAGTTTCTCCCCTTGCTGAGTCTTTGGCCTTTCTTATTCTATTAGAATTTTAAATGCAAGTACTTATCAGCAATATCTCCGCTAAATAATCTGAGTTGTCTGCAGAGATCCGATAAGTACTGTATAAGGATGCCCAACAAATGGAACTTTTCTTTTGATTACTTCTACGCTGCAATACTTGCCCTTGGAATTTATGTCCCAGGCATGAACTTCAACCTTCCTTTTGCATTTTTTGCTCGTGTTTATTTGGATGGCTTTTTGAGTTGCTTTCAGTCTGCCGCATTGTCAATTTAACTAAAACATTGAACGCATTGCAGGTTCTCCTCACATGTACACTTACATGCTTGGGCAGAGGAAGAGGGCTCTCTCCAAATCCAAGAGAGAGTAATATGACAACAAAATTTCTTTGTCTGGTTGGTGATGTCAAAAACCCCAAATATTTAATTAGAAATGTTACCCTTTTTTTATTTGATTAGAGCTACATTTGTATTACTTCATTTAGTCCTTGTGTTGAATAGGAATGAGAGAGAGCTTTTCATTTGGTTTTCTGGCATCGATGAATTAGGGCTGGCAAAATTTGAAATGTGCCTCTAATTAATATTAGGGATGGCATAGACAGATTATCTAGACATGAAATTAATCCAATGTAAAAAATTAGTGAAATAATAGAGAGAAAAAAAAAAAGATCTTTGGAGAAAATGTTTAGGATTGTTGATTTCTTGTAATGTGTTTTTTTTTTTTTTTTTTTTTTTTTCTGTTTAGGTGCGTAGGGAAACAAACATGTTTAAAGATAAAAATATTGTTTATTATTATATTTTCTGTAGCCAGAATAGATGTTATTAATTATACTTTATTAACATAATTTCAGCAGATTTTTGTTTGGAACCTCGATTAGTATTATTTCTGTCAAATTGTTAAGCACCAACTAATACAATTGGTAAAATATAATAATATTTTTTAATAATATCCCATATAATAATTATTTAGATAGTATTTCTATATTTAGCTGTATACCACATATATTCTTATATAAAAGAATAAATCTAGAAAGCAGAAAAGAATTTCATTGTCATTAAAAAGTGCACAATGTCATAATGTCTTTTTGTTTGCTTTATCTCCCATTAATTAGTGTAATCAATTACAGACAGATATAAAAACACTAATTTTCCATTCAACAATTATTAACTTTTAACAGATTTTTGTTTTGAGGCATCCATTAGTTGAAAAGAAAATAAATTATTTCAATTAAATTGTTAATTACTAATTAATACAATTACTAAAACCCAGTGATACATATATATATATATATATATTTATAATATTCAAGGCAAATTGCCACAATTAGCTGTGTATTTCTATACTTCTTTTGGGAGGGTAAGCATTTAACTAACCAAGAAATATATCTTTATCTCATCAAATTTAATATTCCAAATGTTGGATTCAATAGGATTTAATTGTTTGCTATACTTGATTATGTTAAGTTTCGGTAAAATTATTACATTTATACATAAGAAAAATACTTTATAATAATTAAAATAATCGTAATTCAAATAGTTTAATAAATTAAAAGTCTAAACTAATTTTTTGTTTATTACAAAAACCAAAACTCAATATTAAAAAAAATAATACAGTGTTTGTTTCATTATATAACAGAAAATAAATATTTATAATAAAATAATAAAAAATAATCAACTCTTTTCGTTTGAATTGTTAAAAATTAGAATCATGAATCACGCTAGTTAGTACATACCTAGCTGTAGTTAATACTGAGAGAGCAAGAGGTAGGTGGGGGTAGACAAGTAAAGACACTGTCGGTAATTAACACAGAGTGGTTAGTATTAGGTTTAGATAATCTGCATTAGTAATACTTAATTTATAATTATCTAATATATTAACTTCTCTAAAACTTATTTTTAACAGCTAAAATATTACTTCAAAAGTATTTTATAATTTTCTATTTCATACATTTACATTTCGTTATGAATTTGTTTACTTGTAAAAAATTAAGATGATTCCCACTAATCTTATTATTAAATTATTAATTATTAGTTACAGAAATAACACTGGAGTTTAAGTAATCTTAATAATTAAATTTATAATGGCGTGGTACGCTTAACACGTATTAATGTGGGATGAAGGATCAACTTCAAGGTGTCCCGGTTGAAATAAATGAGATTAAGACAGCGCATGTACGATCTCTCCATGAAAAACAGAATAAAACATGAATTAATTTTCAAATGAAAAAAAAAAATATATATATATATATATAAAATAAAGAAATAAATTATTAAATTAGTTTTCAAAATTTAATTTCCATATCAATTTAATATCTAATATATATAGTAATTATTATATTTCTATATGTTTTTGCTATATGCACTGAATTAAATTTCTTGGTACTCTTATTTTTTGTTATTCAAGCATTTTGATTTTTTTTTCTTTAATAATTCAATTTATGTGGTACTTAAAATTTTTTATTTATAGTTGAATTCATACATATTTTAGACAATATAAAAAAGATATTTTGAAAATTTAAAATTTTATAGGTAGTTGGATTTAAATTTATAATTTTTTTTAATTAAAAAATATTAATTATCTAAACAAATAATTATTTTGCAATAAATAGTGGTTTGATAATATGCTCTCTCTCTCTCTCTCTCTCTGCGTGCAGAAGACTCTCATCTCGTTAATCATGCACAACTTGCGGATGGGTACCCAGAAACTGCACACTCTTTTTACACAACTCTATATCTGTGCTTCTGCACCTGCACGTTCCATTCGTAGTTTTTCCTTCTCTGTCTCGTGATGGCATTTTTATCACCGCTCAGGCGATTCTATCTTGCTGCCTACAACTGGGTTCTCTTCATTGGATGGCAAGTGTCAGAGCTTTTTCGGCTTTTTTTGGGTTTAAATTTGTTGTGTGCGCACCAAGTGTTTGATCAAATGCTCTGAGTTGATCTACTAAAACAAAGACTTTCTTTAAAAAGTTGTTAAATCCTTTAGGTGGGTACGGGATTATTCGATTGATGCTGTATGATGATGGACGCCTGCAGTTTATGACTACTTGTGTATATAGAAAGTAAAAAGATATTTACAGTTCCAGTTAATGAACTTTAGTTGCCTCAGGTTTCAGGTGTTGTATATTTGTCTGAGGACATTGAAGGACTTGGGCCACGAACAAGTATACCATGCAGTTGAGACGTCTCTGCAGCTTGCTCAAACTGCTTCTGCTTTGGAGGTAATGATCAATCTTTGAACAAAAATTTAAATGCATATACACACATTTTTGAGTAATTTGTGCTTAAGTTATATATAATTTTGACCATTTTTGATTAATCCAACTTCTGCTTTCCCTGAACGTATACATTAAAGTTTTTTTTTTTGTTCTTTCTGGGTTCATGGGTTTATGATTTTTGACTTTTTTGGTTACTCTGATATGTTTGCTTAATAAGTTTATATGATAGAACAGTAACCCTTTCTTTTTTTGGTGCTTACTTTCTGGTTCATGGATTTGGTTGTGGAAGAGCAGATCATCCATAGTCTAGTAGGTGTGTTACCACCCTTTCCTTACGAGTTACTAAGAAGCCTTGATTTGTTTACAGGACTGAAAAAGAATGGCCTTTTATTTACTTTGTTCTCTTCTTTTCTACTGTTTTTTTTCCTTTTCTTGTTCCCTTCAAAAGGGTTGGTGAAATCTCCGGTTACAATAACATTTCCCCAGATAGGGTCGAGGCTGTACCTCACTTGGGAAATTTTGTGGAACTTCACTGAGGTTAGGGCGCCCTATTGTTTGTTCTACTGTAATTACCAGAAATTCAATTATTAAAGAAATTTTTACTCACACCATTCAATTAATTGGGACTAATTGTCATTCTTGAACAGATTCAGAGTAATGTCTTCGTTACCTTTTTGGTCCTCAGTTGGTCTCTTACCGAGGTGAATAATATACTATACTCTTTAACAATTCGACCAGAAACTTCTACGGTGCAACAGAGATTCTGCGACTCTAGTATGAAATTGTTGAATCAGATAAATGAAATTCTAACAGACTGTAAATAGAGAATGAATAACTAAAATTTCATTCAGTCGATTCAATGATTTCTGATGTAAGCGATTTAGGGGTAATGCTCTATACTTCGGGGGCAAGCAAAATATTCCAGAGAAATCTTAGAAATTCCCAAGATTTAGTGCCTCTGAGGCACCAAGCTGGATTAATTTCAGTAATGTGCACTGCAACAGCGTAGTTTTCTGAATAGATACTTAAATAGTGTCTTTGAATTGCAGATTGTTAGACACTCTTTCTTTGCCATGAAGGAGACATTTGGTTCCACACCTTTCTGGCTCTTGTGGCTTAGGTATAGATACATATATACACATCAAGTTACAAACCAGGAAATTTCTCTTCCTATTTCATGACATTGGTTTAATTTTGGAGTTTTATATATATATATATATATATGTAAGCATTAACTATGGCCTGCAGGTATAGCACTTTCCTCTTGCTTCAGCCAACAGGCATCTTCAGTGAAATTGTTATATTGTACTATGCACTTCCACTAATGAAGGTAAAACAAATATGACCAGTAAAAATTAGGAGATCCACTAATTACTTCTATATTTCTAGTGAAATTAGGATCTTCTGGTTACAGGCTTTTTATTAAGATAAATATGAGTTCACGTTAAATTGTCGGTTCATGTGTTAATATTATGATAAATCGGTGCAGTTCTTAGTAAATTTAGAATGTCTAATTAAAAACTATAACTTAAACATGTTTTTTCATAAACCATAAATTCTCAACTAATGGTAACCTGCAAATTTTTTTGCATTATAAATATTAAAGACTGAAATTATATATGCAGGAAACTTGTAAGCGGATGTTGGAGAAGATTCACCTGTATGTGTTGATTATGATTCTTGCAATCTACATCCCAGGCAAGATTTCCCACCATTTACTTGCGGCAAACGTATCGGTTGCTTGTTTATTTCGTGAAATTGTTTTAATTCAGGTGGTTTGTTTGTACACTGGCACCTCCATGGTCAGAGGAAGAAAGCTCTCTCAAAATCCAAAGGAGATTAAAATGGCTAAGCATTCATATTTACCATCAACAACAACTGGTTTGTCAATGCATTATTAACATTGGCATGGAATCAGAATTGTAATGTGATTCTATTTAATTACAGTGTTTGGTTAAATTCTAAAAGGAAATTAATCTAATCAAGATTCCATTTAATTGTTAATCATTATCTTCAATTAGTACGTAGTTCATTATTTTTAAATATTTTTCATCCGATTATTAGATTGGTGCAGCGGAAATGTAACAAATCTATAATCATCTTATAACCTAGTTTGGTAGGTTTAACTTATTATTTCTGTTTGATTCGAACATTAACATATGATAAAAATAAAATCAAAATAATAAGAACATACTATAAAATCCAGACTTGGTCTAAGAGTTTAGGGACAGTACCGGACATAAATAGACTCGATAGAGAGAAAAAAAAAAGTTATGACATTTTACTAAAATAATATATTGTTTCATCAAGTTTCTTGCATATTGTGAAAAATAATATTTCTTTCTGTCTCATTTTATGTTTATGTAATTCTATTTTGTCTTTTACTATGTATCTAATAATACTATTGGACGCTAACTAGTTTGGAATGTAGAATTTTGTAACGCATAGGAGGTCGATTAACTCACAACCGTTATTCATTCTTGAGGATGAAACTTCATGAATGTGTAAAAATTTCTGTTTTACTCATAAACAAGATATTTGAGATGGTCAAATACTAATTTGCAGAAGAGAGATTTCTGGCACAAGAAGGAAGAAGGATGAAGTAAAAATAAAAGAGAAACAACTAACAAAGTGAAGTGAAGTTTAGACACATTATATGGGGAAGCCATGTATTTTCGGCTGTGAAAATAAAAATCCGTCCAGAAATGAGAAAATCAAACTTTTGGCAAAAGAAAAACCATAACATGGCACGATGAGTTCTTGAAGAAGTTCGTCAATTGTTTTACCTTCTGAAACCCAAAAAATCTCATTCTCCAGCAGCTGCACTGGCCGCGCTCAAATCCACAGAGAGATCGAGTGTCTGAATCATGATGCAATTGCATTTGATTAGTAGGTGAACTCAATTCTTCATTGAACCTCTTAATCAATCAAGTTTGCATATAATAAAGTTGCCTTTTTCTTTTGAAAAAAAAAAAGACATTTAATGGTGTTAGTCCTATTCAACGTTGATCATAAGAATTAGTATATAAGATTTAAGTTTTTTTAGCTCTACTAGTTGACACTAATTCTCAGAATGTTTGTTGCTATTAGACCATTCATGAGCATCACCAAGAAAAATTATGTAATCAATATTTTACAACACAGCAACCCCATCTTGACCTTCCATGAAAGCTAAAGAAAGAATGTCCATTCGTAAGTTTGCAAGGACCAAGCTGAAATTACCTTTCCAGTTATCGGCTGTAAATGGCGATCACATCTTTTACCGTGGTTTCAAAATGTGTTGTTGCATCATAACTCTGAAACATATTTCAATTTCAAAATTTTATAAGTCTGTAATAGCAACAGTAAAATTAGAACCAGAAAGTAAAAAAAAAATAGATTAAAATTTATCAAATTCAACTGAGATCTATCAGAAAACCAAATTTATTTTAAAATTTAAGTTTTTCTTAACATTATCTTTTTCTATAGGAGGTAGGATCCTAGGTGGAAGCAAAATAGAGGTTCTATAGATAACATGCTCCGTATAAAGAATATTTTGAAAGATGCAGCACGCTAAAATATTCTAACAATTCCAGTTGTATTTTATTATTTTTTACAGAAGAATCAATTAAGATTACATTACTGATTAAGTGGCCCATACTGTCAAAAAGTCGTAATCCTTGCAAATACATAGACAAGAGTGAGAGGATAGACGCCCATTTTCTTACTTTAGACCACAGAAAACTAAAATCTTTTTAAATATCTTCAGTATACATCATATTTACCATCGGAATTAGATTTTCACAACCAATATCAGTTATCAGTTCGTAATAAGTTTGAGCATTCTAATGCTTTAAACATACAAAGAAAGGCCATCATTCACTTCCTAACATTTGAATTGAAAAGACAAGGTGGGTGAATTGTTCAATAGGATAAATCATATTAAAATTAAGAAGTCTAAAAGAAAATAAAGTAAAAACCAGATATATTTACTAACCGTGGATATGAAACAGTTGTCATTACTGTCCAGATTCGTAGGTTCATATCTGTCATATGCGTCAAAGAATATTTCATCTATAGGTCCAAGGAGATCTATCCCAGGCTTCAATTCCACCTCAGGATTATCAGTTTCTGCTTCTGTTGTGACAAAAGCAATATATTTGCCTTTTGCAGCAACATTGTGAGCATACGAGCAGCAAAACAGGTACCTGTTAACGGAAAATCCAAAAAAAATTCACTGAAGTTAGCTTGACAGTTCTTCGAGATATCTAGCTTCTATTTAGTTGTTCTCCTTTACCTTGTCACAGCTTTTTTACGATGATCAAATAAATCGAAGTCTTGGATGGGAATAAAGCTCGTGTTAGGTTAGGTTAAATGTCTATAAGAAGAATTCTATATTGTCTAATGTGTCAATTAGCTACTGGTTACCAGAAGAAGCCCTAGTGGTTTATAAGTAGTAAGAAACTTAACACACTACTGTTTATTGAAAGCAATGATTCTTGGATTGTTTGTCTGATATGTCTGCAGTACCGGTAGAACCGAGAGCACAGTAAGAGGCAAACAGGAGAACGATAGTATAGTGTCCATTTCATCCTTTTATTTTCTTTCAGTGAAGTTAGGGGCAGATATCCCTTAGTAGTCAATTTATAATGGAGATATGTACTTAAAGATAAAGTGCTGTGAGAACTTCTGCATACATATCTGATTTACGTCCAAGTTGTTTCTGGGGCAAGATGACCTGGACCGAGTGAGAGTCATTTGTGTTTGGAATCGGATGACTCATAATACATATGGCACGAGCAACTTTCCCAATCTTCTTTACCTATTGCCATAAACAGAAAGCTGAAAGTTAGACGAATTAAAGCAAAAATAATTTAAGCAATTTCAGAAAAAAAATGTTTGTCGATTACCTTGTCAGGTAAGTAAGAAGGATCACACACAACTTTCTTGCACTTTGCAGTTTCTCCTTCTGATGTTACACCAAACGCCTTTCCATTTTCATCAAACTCCACCTGCCATTTGCAGAATTAGATATGGTTTCTCAGTTATTGCAAGGTACAGGTGTTAAATAAAACTGTATCAATACTAAAACACCAAAAGGTAAGTAAAGCGATAATTTAGTTTCGCACTTCAACTTAGGATCTTGCATTCAACAGCAAATACTGATTTTTTTTGCAAAACATACTATGGGAGACTCATAAAGCTCAGGACATTTAGAAGCTGAAAATGAGAATAGCATATCACCTTGCATTCTGGCTTGTTAAGCATGTAGGTTCCACCATAAACAGCACTCAAACGAGCAAATGCCTGCCAATTATGTCATCATATATTGTCAGGGCAACTATATAAACTACTTGATCTCAAAGATATAGGGATGCCTGAAACAAACCTGGGGTAGCTCTCCCAACCCGTAGAGAGGATAAATATAAGGAGATCCTCCTTGAAAACGTGCTAAAGACTCTGCATATAACTTTTCAGAAGAAACAAAATCCCATCATCTTAGTTACATAAAGTGCAATTATTCTTTAGCGATGATAACAGCAGAACCAAACTCGTGAAAGATATTATAAATCATATAGAAAAGGGTTCTTGCTTGAGACTCAAACACAATATAAGAGGAGAAGAGATCAAGAAATGTTTCATGCTCTTCAGTTTGGAACATCCATTTGAAATGGAAATGAAGATTAGAAATCTTACCTTCATCCTCTTGACAAAATCCATAGCTGGCTTTTCCAAGTAACTATCATCTAAATGGAGTGCTAATGCATGTCCAATGAAGTCCACGGTATTGTCATCCAACCCATATTTCCTACGTCAGAAATGGAAACAAAAATTCAGGTTTCATTGCTAGAATGACAGTGGACAACCTTGCCTTGATTTCTTTCTGATTTCCGTGCATATATAGCTCAAGTTTTAAGGGAAGAGTAAAAGTAAGAACTGGGTATTAAGCCAGAAAGAGCAACAAATGAGAAATTACGAAATAAGATCTCTGGCTTTTACTGTATTGAGATCCAGCCCTTCATGAGATTTTGGATCATTCTCGTCATAATCTTGCACATAGATGAAAAATTTTCTAGCACGACGTTTCTCAAACAAACCCATAAGGGGGGATTTAAGTGCTTCCACATCATTAGCGGGTACTTTGTGAATCTGGAAGCAGGATTTCAATCAACTTAGTTAAAGATGAAGCACATAGACCAAGTGCCTGTTCAAGAATTAGGCACCATACCTTCCCCTTGTTGTAAACAAAGCTACCATCAACAGCCTTAAAATTCAGATATTTAGTAACATCAGTGTGTATGAGAATGCGAACCAAGCCACCATTTGCCATCATGAACTGTCAAGCGCAGAAATAAAAGATGTGATTAGAATAAATGGCATTCAGAATACAAACAGTGGATCTAACTATGGTGAACTAAATTGTATCATAACCTGTATTCCTCTTACCATAACATCTCTTTATTTAACAGGTACAAAGAGTAAGAAAAAACAAATTAAGCGTAAATGTTTTGAAACAAAGTAGACTTGTTTTTCCAACCAATGATAAAATGTTAGGGTGAAATTTTGACTTAATTAATTTAGATCCTATTATATGACTTAAAAACATATAGTACGCCTGGAAGCCACCACAAGTCGAAGTAGAGTAGAGTATGGATTTCTTCATTTCAAAATTCGCATAAGTACTGGAATCCATTCTACCAAATAATTAATAAAATCATCTCGCTCCATTAGTCATTTCTAATCTATGTCCCACAGTTTTATGGTAAATTGACGAATACCTGAGTTCATGAAAAATTGGAAAATGCAACTTAGTGGCACCAAAAATATCTACACTCTGGTTGTCCATACCTTGGGAATCATATCGACATTGTAGTCTCTGCTTGAACCCAATGGTTCAGGAGGCTTGTCTTCCCCCCTAAACCGTTTCCAAAGCTAAGAACCAATGCAGCAAACTTAATCAAAAAAGGCACGTAAAATTCGTGAATTCAGAAACGGTCGCGCAAAATCACATCCAAGTTAATCATTACTAAATTACCTGGTTGAGATTGAGAGAAGTGGATTCTCCTCCGTAATAGTCATTCCTATCCATATGCAGAACCTATAAACGTAAATTCAAATCAGCGAATCAAATTCTGTCAAAACCAAGGCGTCGTAGCACAAATTTCATGTACATTTTCATTTCCAAGAAATCTTCCAAGGATTTAAAACATTCGAAGACCTTGAAGAAATGAAGTAATGGTGTTAAGCAAGATGAGAAAGAGACGAGAAAGTACTTTGAGTCCATCAACTGAGAGCAGACCACTGAGAATGCATTCTTTGAGACCTGTCCCAAGCACCACGACGTCGTATTCTTCATCCATTTTGGTTTACAGATTGCAGGTGATGACTTTCCGGTTTCGAAATTAAAGAAGAAACTTGTATGTTGAAAGCTGAGGAGATCAAACGAGAGAGAGAGAGAGAGAGAGAGAGAGAGAGAGAGAGAGATTAGGAGGGATTTATTAGTTAACAGCGCGGTTTTTATTTAATTATCTATTTCTAAAAAATGTAGGACAGGGAGCAGATCAAGCGGGAATTCTGGGAGACTGCCCTCGAATTCAGTTAAAACCGGTATGATCTCACACGTGTGTTCATTCCTTTTTGCTTTCTCGTGGCACGTGCGGACTTCTGAGTCTGAAGGTGGTAATTAGTTGTAATGGGATTTAATTAAAGATAAAACTCAGATTAATTTTTTTTTAAAAAATCCTTAAATTATACAACATTGTGCCTTCAATTAAATTTTAAAGCTATTTTATTGACTAAACCAAGAATTTTGGTAGTTTTTTTAAAAAATATAAAAATAAAATTATATTTTAAAAAAATTATGCCATAATAATGAAATTATGTAAATATTATATTGTATTTTTAAAAATAAAGATAAAATTATGTAAATATTTACTTAGATTCAATTCTAATTTAGATTCTACGCGAAGTATGAAATTCAAATCAGGCCGAACAATTTACTATTGACTTTTTTAGATTTGTGTTTACGATTTATGATAAGTTAACGATCGAACGAGATAATTATTGTCGTGTTATTAATGAAATTCAGATCGTAAATTAAAGATTTTCAAAACAGTAATTACAAGTATTTCTTGTCTAATGCCAAATTTTATACTTTCTAAACACCCATTACAGATTCACATGTTTCTTTTTCTTCTATTGACATGAGAAATATCTGCTCTCTGATACTGGCATTTCCCCCTAGTTTAGCCGGAATAGGGTAACCTGCAAGAATTTCACAATAGATTCAGGTTGATTATGGATTATTTCTTGAGTTTATAAAAAGACTAGAAGTATGAGGAAGATATTTTTTGGTATAAATCTTATAGTATATCTATTAGAAATTATCAAATTGTTGCCTGTCATATATATATATATATATATACAGTGTAAAAGAAACAATCTTTGAAGAGCTTACCCAAGCTTTAAAGAGGTATCTGAGCTTTCATAGTCATATGGTGGACCATTAGAGTTACAGAGATTGGTTACAGACTCTGATGACTGGCCCTCTTCATAAACTACATTCTCTGACTCTGCACCACCTTGTTTTCCCTTGTTAGATATCTGAAACAACTTCATCAACAAAACCAAACAAAAACAAAAACATTTAGCAATTGCTTTTAGTTTTTCTTTTCAAGAAATGAACTTCTGAAGGAGATGAAGAGAGAAAATTGCAATTCACACTTGTTGCCTCAGTTTCTCATTCTCTTCCACCAATCGTAGTCCCTGCATGTTTGAATCAATTCAAAAGGAAGGCATGAAAATGGAGAATATAATAAGAAAGAAAGAGAGAAGAAACAGGTTTTTTACTGAAACTAGGAGGAATACTATATTAAAAACAAAATGCATAATCGCATAGCACAAGGATCTAAATATTATTTGTGAGTTTATGGGTTTTTAGTGTCCGACCTTCCTTTGAAGATCACTGATCTCTTTCATTATATTTTGACCCTGAGATGCAGAAGAAAAATATTATTCCAATTTCAATTTTATGTGTAAAAAGCTTAAAGAACATATTAATTTGCAGACTGGAAATATATAGATATAGGTATATGCATATAAACTGACCTTTTTCTCTATGACACGACGCAATCCCACTTCAAGGGATTTTTCCAACTGCTGCAGCTGCTCTATGCTTAATCCCTGGAGCTCTTCCCCCCTCATTTGCCTGTTTAGTGTATTATTATTTAACATGTAATTATCATTGTCAGTCATATTGATACTATATAGATGTCACTAATTAACCAGTTAATAAACAAAACTGAAGAAGCTTATGATACTTCAACTGATGGCTTTTCTCAGCAATTTCCTTGCACAATCTGGAGCGGTCGGCATTCTCAACTAGCTATAATATGAAACAAATATTAATTCCTAAGCCACAAAGAGAGGAACGTTATTAAAAAAATCATTAATGAATTTTTAAGACATATCTGACTTATATGGAGCTTACTAAGAATTCATTGAGAGAAAGAGGGGAAGTTAAGGATTCTGATTAAGTTTTCCTTTGTGTTGACTTGTTAACCAAAAGCTTAATTCTTCTGCTCAATGTTAGTTTTAACTCAAATTTTAACATGGGACACAATCCGACTTGAAATTATACCCTCATAAAGAGAAGTGAAGCACCGACGATACCGACAAATAGTTAATTGCTTAAAACTATGTAAGTAAACAATAATAGATAAATTCAGACAAAAAAGATGGTACCTAAATTAGCAATTAAAAGAAGCATGAAAGCCAAACAACTAACCTGTAGTTCAAGAGATGGCTGCTCCAGCTTCTCAAGGTTCTTCGCGTGCAACCTATGTCTTTCGAGTATTTCCTTCATGCTTCAAAAGGCTCAACAAGCACAAAGTCACTACCAACATCAATGCATATATATATATATATAATTTTTGGAAGATAAGGTAATCTTCATTAATTTTAGAGACCAAAGAAAGTATAAAAGTTGTTTCCACCTAGTAACAAAAATTAAATATCTGAGGCAACTCCGAGAAGTAATTTCTTTTCAATATATAAATGACGAAGATTAATTAAGAGATTAAGGCTATTATTAAAATAAATGATGGTTCTACTTAAAATTGTCTAATATATAATTCAACTTTATCATCATGTATGGTTATATGGGATCTTTAAGTCTCTCATGGTTAAAATAAATATAAATTCTCGAATGAATACCAGAAAATTTATGTTTTCCCAAACATAACCTAAATAAAGACAGCTTAAACCAGACATCAACTCATATAATGATACTGAATTAAGGAGAGGCTACTAAGTTGGGAGACTTCTACTTTTTTTCCCCATTTATAAAAAGAGAAAAAATAGGAAATATATCAGACAGTCTTTGAATATTATCATGGTTCGAGATCAAAACACATCTGAATCACACTAAACCATAAAATCGGTCAAAACAACTTTTTTTATTGAAAGTCAGTCAGATAATTGAGATTTACTTTGAAAATCCAAGACTTAAAGAAAAGATATTAAGACATCATAACTTAACCATGATAGGAAAAACTTAAACTTAAAGATATTAAGATATCATAATCTAACACTTAAGAAAAGATATTAAGACATTAAGCTTTGATTGCAGTTCCTGCATTGGTTTATGCTATTGTCATATATCATAGATTGTGCTGGGGTTTTCATGCCTTTCTTGTGTCTGTGTTTGATTATGGATTGTATAAGTAAGATTTCGGAGTTTGTACATGTTTCTTTATCCAATAAAGTTCTTTCTTACATTGCAAAAAAAAATCCATGATACAAAAAAACAAGAGTAGTTTGACCAATTCTAGCAACGCCTGTAAAGCAGCCGCTTTTGCCAGCAAAGTGAAATACCTATATCCCTAGCTAGACGGAACAGATGCATATTAACCCTTCAATAACTGTGTTAAAAGTTGCTCTTTTATGACTTTAGCTACTGAACTACAAGAAAAGAAGAATGGTGATATGAAAAAGGTATAAGTTTACAAGAAATGCAGAGGAAAAAACATTTAAGAACTGATTTGATGTACGACCCTGCGCCAACTTTTCATGATTCTCATGCTTCAATCAACCTTTTTTGGTGATACATAAGGATTTAGCACATCCAACATATAAAATCAGGTACAAAGATGTTATGATATGTATATATATATATACATATGAATATATTTATAAAAGATAAAATATTACAGAAAGGGACAAAAAATTACAAATTATCTGGAAATGTAAGACTTCTTTATCAATTATGAATATATTGATTCGTTTTTGTAGATTTACTTGCAAATGAGAAAATTTCTAAAAAGCAATTATGAAACCAGTTCTATTTTTATTTAACTTCATGTTACATTTGATTGTTCTTTTTTAGATATTGGTTTCATTTCAACAATCGAATATGTTGTATTTATAGATATATATATATATATGTTTAAAATTTGTAAATTAAAAAATATTTTCATTTACTGAATAGAGGCCTCTCAGCTCAAGCAAAAAGCAAGAACAAAGAAAAGAAATAAGCAAAGGATATGAAGCATTAAGAGGAGATCATCTCATGTTCTTTTGCAGCATGAATAAAGAAACCCCTAAATTTATAAACTACTAGCCTTAGCCTAAAGAGAAGAAATGAACAGTTCTACCCCAAAATTAAGAGCTTACAACTCCAGCATTTTACTACAAATCCAAAAAATGTAGAAAGAATTTTAATCTCTAAGTTAGGAGCAAACCCGCCCATAAAATGACAAACGGGAAAAATAATCTAGTCCAAACTCTTCACACCATCACTCTAGTTGCATCTTGTTCCAAAATTTAACAAAGTAATGTGCTTGTGCCTGTGTTTATATATATATATATATCATTAACTCAAAAGAGAAATGTTTCCCCACATTATAATGAAATAATAAAAAGAGGTACAAGCAAATACCTTTTGAGATAGGAAGGAGCAAGAAATATGAGGAGAGATCCCATGAACATGAAGGTATAATTCATAAAGAAAATATTACACTAAGTTCATACTCACAATATAATCACGAGCACTTTCTTTCCTGTCAAATATTGATATTTTATGAAAGAACCACCCAATTATTGTTACCGCAACTTTTAAAATTCTAACTACACTATTTCTTACTAAATTTTTCGTGTAATTCCAAGCTCATAATTAACAAATAACTAATGTTCACAATTAAACGTTATATACGAGTTAGAATATATTCGATAACATTCAAAAAAAAAAAAAATCACAGTGCAGAATTTTAAAATCCATCCCACAATATCCAAACAAACACAGCCAAGAACAGTTTACCTCGGTATTAGAAACTGAATAAGTGTATACATATATATTCCTACACTATAATGGGTATATACGTGTTTACGTGATTGTGTACGAAGCTGGTATGCAAATCAAGAGGCAGACAGAAAAAAAAATATGTATATAAAAGCATACACGCGTATACATTCAGAAGACGTAGATAGAAATAAAGAGAGAGAGAGAGAGAGAGTATGTGTGCGTGAGAGAGAGAGAGAGAGAGAGACCTTGAGCTGCTGTATTCGAAGAGCTTGCCGGTAGAGGAGAATACGATAAGAGCAACATCGGCATCGCAAAGAACTGAGAGCTCCTCGGCCTTCTTAAAAAGCCCTCTTCGCCGTTTAGAGAAAGTTACCTGTCTCGCCGTCGTGTTATCAATTTTCTTGATCTGTATCTTCTCCCTCGCCATCCTCTCTTCTCTTCTTCTTCACTTTCACTTTTCTTGTCTGTGTGTATATGTATATATATCTATTTATCTTCTTGTCACAAAACAAGTAATCAGAATAAAACAAGCAAAATCAAGAGTCAGCGTTTTTTCATGTCTTCTGAGATCCAGTAGGGGAATAAACCAGCGTATATCAGACTATGAAACAACAAAATATTAGAAAACAAACCTCAAAAAGAAGAAGAATAAAGTTGCTAAAAATAGGCCTGGACTGAAACGTGACAAGGACATGAATAGAGCGAGAACACTGGCATCTTCAGTAAACTTGGAGGAGAATCTGGGTAACAAAAAAAAAGGTCAAAACGAAACCCTAGTGAAGCAAAAAAGAAAGAGAACAAACAAGTTAGATCCAGAGAGGACTGAAAGGATAGGGGAAGGAAAAAGAAAGGATTCCTTCCAGGGATTGGAAAAAGGAAAGGAGAAATGTTTACTTACCGAGTTTAGGGTGCCTAGCTTGTGTCGTCTCTGACGCTGTTTTTGGTGTGAGAGAGTTTCACGGGTGCGAAAAAGCCACCAATGAGGGAGAGGTTGAGTGCGAGGAAAGTCGTGGAGAAGAAAATAAAAAAAGACAGTCCAGTGGAAAGGGGGAAATTCCTTCTTATGGTGAAGCAGGGAAGTCCTCGTTTGGCTTTTGCTAGAAAAGGACAAGAGGGGGGAATTTGAAACGGAACTTTCGCTGGACTGGGAAAATTCGAATATGACAAAATTAGAAGGGGCACTGTTGTAATTTTCAGAACTATTCCTTATTTTTAATTTTTCTTTTTAATAATTTGATGTTGACTATTTAAAATATCTTTAAAACAAATTAATTTGATTTTCATATTTATTTATTGTTTTATTAAACAAAAAAAATTAAATATTTTTATAAATAATCAAATTACATATTCATCTTTATGTATTTAATCACAAATATCATAAATTTTAAAACAAGTATCATCTTAATTTATATATAATATTTAATTAACAATGTTATTAAGTAAAAATTATCATAATTTTTTTTTATAGATATGATAAAATCATTATTAATTTTTACGAATTAATCACGATAAAATACTATAAATTATTATATATTTTCATATTAAATTACTGTAATAATAATTCAAATAAAAAAATTATTATTTTTATAAAGAGATTATGATATTGATAAAGTATTAATTTAAATAATTTATATTTATTTTTTTGATAAATTATGACGGTATACGTACTATAAAATAATAATTATGACTCATATTATATATTTTATAACTGTTAAAAATTTATAGTATTTATTATTAATTAATATGTTTATTTATAATAAAAAATTAAAATTTTCTCTAATTGATATTCGTTATTTGTATCTCGTTATTATTATTATATTATTATAACTTACTGTTTGCTTAAATTCATAAATTTTAATTTTATTTAAAGTACATGTCAAATTATTTTGTAATAGTATTATGAGTTAGAGCTGTAAGATTTAATTAATATTTTTTATAATCAGTTAAGATATTTTTAGATAAAAAAAAATATATTATATTTTTTTAATTAAAATATAATATATTTTCGTTATAATTTATTTAAATTTAATTATTATTATTATTTTTTTGTAATTTATTATTATTATTATTTTTTAATGCAGGTTAGATGAATGTGGCTTGCGTGTCGTGGGCCTCCACGTGTTGCTGGTCATGATTACTCCTAACTAGCCCTTCCACGGTGCCCAAAATGGAGTACGTTTTTTGCTTCACATCCACGTGATTTTATCTACCAAACCAAAGGAGCTTCCAAGTCACTTCATTTTAACAACCGCCACCAACCACTTGATTCTTTCTCTACATTTTTTTTTTTAATTTTTTATAACATATTATTTATGTGCTACTATTTTAAATTATATAAAAAATAATTCTCAAAATATTATTAATTAAAACATATAATTATATATCGTGCACCCACAACATTTTTATTTAATTAATTATAATATTTTATATACTTAAATACTTAATTTATTAAAAATACATTAATTAAGTTGTCAACACATAAATGATAATTTAATTTATATCGCGTTATATATTTTATCAATAATTATTAATTATAAATAAATAATAAATTTAATTTATATCGGGTTAGTTTGTTTTATGTACAAATAATAAATTGTTAAGCTTAAAAATGTGGTGTAGTGCATGCATGTTATTGTAGATTTGAATAAATCTCATAAATTATATATTGCTACCAATTTTTTAATCCGGTAAAATTAATCTAAAATATGAATTGAAAGAAGTTATATGTTTAAGGATTAAATCATAATAATTATAATAATAACAAATGGTTTAAAAATTATTATATTAGAATACCGTATAAAATAAAGTTATTTCATAATACTAAATTGGCTATAGTGGTACGATTGCGGGTCCACTCCGCCTTCGCAATTCATCATTTGATGTCCTTTAATTTCGAAGCTAAAATTGAACGAATCGGGCGGGTTTTACCCGGCCGAGGAACCGAGAGTGCAGTTCCACAACTAGTTCAACGCCAAATCAGATTACTCGAAAATGCCAGCTCGACACGTGCATTCCAGCTCAGCAACTTACAAAGCAGAAACTGGGGAGTTTTTTTTTTTTTAAATTCAATTCCCACGCGCATGTCACGTGCACCCGCCTTATCCTGAAAATGGCCAAATGAGAAAAGAAGTGAGCCTGAGAGCGAGTCGTGAAACAACAGGCAGCGCAAAAATTTTGTGTCCCAAAAGGCGCAAGGGTGTCCTTGTATTAATTTCAAAATCCTTCCCCCACCGGCTAAACGACGCCGTCTCTCCTCTCTCTCTATGCACCAGCCTTTGTTTTTATAACCAGTTCCAAAGAGGGAAACGGACCAGTAAACGTAAACAACTAAAAGGATCAGATGATTCGTCCGGATAGAGAATTTTGAAGGTCTCTTCTGTTCGTTTGTCTCGGTTTCAAATCCAGCTACTAGCTGAGGATTTGTAGAGATTGCTGGAGATTAGTCGCTAGGGTTTTAGGAAAATGGGAGAGCAGAGGAGTAATAATAGGTGGAACTGGGAGGTGACTGGGTTTGAACCGAGGAAGGCATCATCAACCACGTCGTTGGAGCACGAGGATCACAGGGCTGGTGCGTCGCTGGTGAGGCGGTATTCGATCTCTTCGGCGTCGTCTTTGCCGCATTCGTCTGAGTTTTCGAAGCAGGCCATTGCTTCTAAGGTCCAAAGGTTGAAGGACAAAGTGAAGGTAAATCGATTCCTTTCAGAGCTCCTCTAGACTAGATTATCGTGTAACTGATGATTTCTAGACTTCACTAGTCGCGCTTCGAGTGGTAAGAAGTCTGATGATCGGTTCAGTGGCAAGGTGTTTTTTGATGTTAGTGTGAAACGTTTCGTTAGGATACGATATGCGCGGCTTAAGTTTTTGAAAATGACTTCTCCTTTTCCGCTGACAGTGGAGGTCCTTTGTCAGTCTGTTTATTTATGAAGTTTTAAGTAGATTTTTTGGGACTATAATTTTTAGTCCTTTTTTTTTTGTTCTTTGCCGTCGCAAGTTAGAGAAGAACTCGAGAAAGTTGATAATTTTACTTATCAGGAAATGCGCTTCCGTTTGAGTTTTATATATGGCGTTATTGTTTTTCTTTTGAAAAATTGATCAGTCAATTTTCTCCGAAATTTGCCATTTATTCTTTCCTAGTTGTGAAATTGTTATAACCGCATGGGTGTACTCCAAAATTTTTATCTATTTTTATATAAAATGAAATCGAGAACGTCACATTTTTGCCCCCATTTCAATTTGAACCTTAACCCCTTTACTTCCTGAAGGAAGTTTAATATGATTACCTTTGCTGGCATGCATTACAGGCTGGTCACTTTTTTGCATCCCCCATGGAATTTGTAGACTAGCTGGCAATTGAAAATTTGTACTAAGGGTTTTCTTTTGTCAGATTGTTAGTAGATGCAGAGGCCTAACAAGAACCTTGTTATGACTGTAATAGTCTGCTCTTCATAAAGAAAAAAAAAAAAAAAAAAAAAACTCTCAGGGGCTTTCTCTATTTGTATCTTATGGTTATATACTTACCGAAGATGTGGAATGCTGACCTTTTTATAGTTGTAATTATGGCAAAAAAACATCTCTCTGGAACGTTATTGGTTTCAAGAAAATATTGAAATACCTAAAAGGATCTAGAACTGTAGGGATATAAAATGAAGTGTTTCTTTTAATAAAATTCCTTTAATGAGGTGAAGTGAAGGAGTTTTGAATCTCTTCATTTCAAAATTCTCGGTTTCATTTCATAGTCACAAAATTTTGTAGCTACCCCAGTATGATGAAAGGAGTAGGTTTGGAATCTCTTCAAATAAATCATCAGAATTTTAAATCTAGTTTATCTAACTCCACTCCTAGTCTGTGGAAAATCTATTGTATAGTTGCATTTTTATGTGATAGAGAGTTAGAATTTAGATGGTGGTTTCATGTTTGCAGATTTTGGAGGTGAAATATTGATCTTTTTATGTTTGTTTCATTTATTTGATAGAGCTATATAACATTTTTGAACAGCTTGCAAAAGAAGATTTCTTGGCATTGAAACAAGAAGCAAGTGACCTTCAGGAATACTCTAATGCAAAACTTGATCGAGTTACACGTTATCTAGGTGTTCTTGCTGAGAAAACTCGTAAATTAGGTGAGGAATTGAGTTGTATATCTTTTTATTGTCCAACTAAAGACTTCCAAGCCAAAAATTTATATTATGCAGTAAATTCTAAGTTATGTTTGACAACATAGTGTTTGCAGGCTGTGTTGATAGTATAAAGTGAGTTCCTGAAGTTCTTGGTTATCAGTATTTTCTTTTTTGAGTGTAAAAGGATTGGTATCATGTGCAGTCACAAGAAAATTATTGTCATGAATGCTACTTACGGCTCTTTTGTTGCTGAAGATGGTGCAAATTTATGAATCGTTGTATGCCTCTTCTTCTAAGGATTCTTGTTGGTGGATTCTTTTGATGGATTTTAATATTGATATACATATAAATGCCAGATCAAGTTGTCCTTGAGACTGAGGCTAGAATATCTCCACTTATCAATGAGAAGAAAAGATTGTTCAATGACTTATTGACAGCCAAAGGTATCTTCAGTGCTCTTTTTTTTCCTATTTTGTTTTTCTGAAACACTCTTTCTGTTTCCTCTCGACTGTCTCATTGTATGTTTTCATATCTGTGTGTCTGCACATGCAAATATATGTTTATTTCTCCCATTCAAAATGATTTTTTTTTTCATATTTATTCAAACACGTTATATCATTAGCCTATATATGTTCTCTTAGTAGTCCTTTGGTTTGTGAAAATAGATTCTTTATTTCAGGAAACATAAAAGTATTTTGTCGCACAAGACCATTATTTGAAGATGAAGGTCCTTCGACTGTTGAATTCCCTGATGATTGCACTATCCGCGTAATACTGGTGATGATAGCTTATCAAACCCAAAGAAAGATTTGAATTTGATCGAGTTT